TATTCCGTGCGCGGCGACTGACCCGATGGCTGAAGTGTAAACAGATAGATGCCTCACTAGATCTACCCGTTTTTCAAAAGAGAATCCTTACCAGTTGTCGTAGGAGTAAGTGCATGGCCCTTTTATCTGCGACTTTGGTGGCCTATAGTTGTCAGTTCTCACGAGTCTCCCAGTTTTTACTTCATATCCTGGAGCTCTTTGATCTTTGAACAAGAAACGTAACTTGACTGGCGGTTTCAGCTCTTTCAAGTGTTTTCCCCCTAGTCAGCTGCATCAAGGGGTAGGCATCACAGTATTTGATCCAAAACACCTACATGATGATCTTATCGAATCACCATGCTCAAAATCGTAACTTCAGAGTCAAAGACGGCAAGACGGGAAGAGATCCATGTTTGGGTGCCCTTGGACGGCAGGCTAATTACTGTCAGTTGGGTAGACCTGCACTCGTGTAACCTTTGACCTATTCCGAGGAAGCTCCAATGCAGCCTGATTCCCTTCCGTTCAGTCTTCACAGCATCCACCCTCAAAGACTACACGCGCAATTTCACAGCGCGCTGCCTGTTAGTACACTATCAGCTGCGTAATACATTGCCAGCTCGGTAACGCCCTCGACTAAGCTACTCTTCTTGAAAGACGCTCTGTAACTGAACTAAGTACAGCCATACCAGTACAAATTCACAGAACTCTTGAGTCTTTTAATGTCTCCCATTATGAGGACACCTATTGAGATCTAGGAATTACCTGCTATATAAATCCCCGTCAAGCACGAGACTAGTGCGCATCTCGGGCGCGCAAATGAAGAGAAAACGCCATTCCATTCTTGCCCTTCCTTTTGACCACTTTGGTTCGAAATAGAGTCTATTATTCATGGGATGTTCCGTGGCTAACCGGAATTACATCAGAGTGCACAGTCGTAGATAATTATAATTATAATACAAGTTTATGGTCTGTCCCAGCTACGGTACATAAGAGGACATGTAGTTGTTTTCAGGATGGTTTAAAAAAGATTGAAAATCTTTAGAATGATCTCGAATATGATATACCGCATGGCATATTATGGACTTATTTGGGTCAAGTTCTAGAATATATTTTTTAAAATATGCTTTGAGGTCCCTCCTGGTACTTTCAGGTGTTACCATACCCTTTCAGATCAAGCTGACATCAGAGCCAAAATGTGTTTATGAGCCAAATTCTTGTGGGAGCCACCAAAAAATATGCTAGGAGCCGCACCGGCCCAGGTTTTGGGTGGAAGCTGAATGTCAAGATATAATATATAT